CGCGCAATGTTAAGACAATAATCCATTACTCTACCGCTGCGAATTTTCTAGCACACATCTTGATTGAAGAAATCTCTCCGAGCCATATGATGGAAAAGTCCAGTTTCCTTCCTTATTTGCAAGGAGGTGTATTCATAAATCTTTAAATAGTGCTCTATCCCTCTTTATGAAAGGAGACTAAGACCCGAGCATGGATGAGAATCATGAGAAGAAGATGTTGAATTCCAGTGTCGTTTCTGCATTGATGATTTGGAGAAAGCTTCTTGTTCATGCAGTGGCCGACCACCGTCTACCATTGCTCGTCGATCGTTATCAACCAATTTCGACTTCCCCCCTGCTCGTTGCTAGGAAGCCCCATGCGGAGTCAAGATGTACATTGTTGAGTAACAAAGCATTATAAGAAACAACAACCAACGTTGGAAAGTAACGAAGAATCTTACAAAGAAGTGCATCATCCTTAATAAGATGCAGCGGTGAAACACAAAGATGGTGTATCTATAACTCCCAACTGCAACCACTTCTGAAAGTTATGCAACTATTCATTCAGCATACACACATTATACTTCGATATAAATTATGTAACCCTTTTTATCGCGACACAACATCAGCAAATTCCCATTATTAGACATGAATCTTAAGGCATGGCATAGATGTCGGGGTCAACTTTTGAACAAGAAACGTTCAAACTTTGATTAAAAGTTACCTGGAGCTCCAATTTCAACAAGCTCACATTCAAATTAACCGACTTGACGAGACAAACCCAACAGTACCAAAACGAATTCAAGTCATTAAATCACTTTTGGAAGCTTGTTAGGCATATTTGAAATGTCAAATTTGGTGAGCATGTAGTAAAATCAAGCTTATATATTTGAGTTTAGTTGATTTATTTAGTGATATGAACAAATATGCTCTTGATCATGTCACTTGCTGATATTGGTTTTGGTAGAGCTTTCTTGTTTCTCAATCGTGCTTTAAAATTCAACCTTTCTCTTAAATATTTTGTTTTTAAGATATTTACACTGCCATGATAGAATTTTAATGCTTTTATAACTTCTATGTTTTTGTTTTGGTGGTTGAATTTGATCTTTCGATTGATTGTATGATTCTTCTTCGGTTCGTCTATTGTAGTTTTTTTGTTGCAGTTTATGTGATGTTCTTGGTTTCTTCAGTTCTTTTTTTTTTCATTTAGTTTGCAGTAAAAGTGTAGGATATTTGGATCCTTATATTATTTTCAGCGTTATATTTTTGGTTGAAGTTTATCTATTGAATTGAAATGAACAAATCTGCTCTTGTTTTTATCTTTATCATATATTAGTTTTTTCTATTTTTCTTGATCTTAGCTGATATGTACAGATTTGCTCTTGATTTTATCTTTATATGAGGTTGGTTTTGGTTGAGCTCTGAAAAATTCTAACCATGCAATAAAATTTAACTGTGCTTTCAATTATTTTGTTTTAAGATAATTATAATGCTTGGAACGAATTTTAATGTTTTTGTAGATAAGTGAATATGATTTGTTGTTTTCTTGCTTTATTCGACATTCTCTCGTCTTATTATTTTCTTGTAGAAAATTATAATGATTGAAACATCCACCAATTTTATTTCATTTTATTTTTCTTTGAAATATATATTGTCATCTTTTTTAATTATGTTTTTTCTAGGTACAACTGAGAATTAGGGCACTCAAATAGTTCACATATGACTTGGAGAACAAGAAGCTGACGGGGCAAATAAAAAACTCCCCTCTGGGGTTAGCAAACTATTGACCCTCAAAGCCAAGCATAACAAGCCATGTCTCTAAACTCGGAATAGGTAAAAGCTCTGGAGGCAGTTCTCTGCTCAGTAGCAATATGCTTCACGAAAAGTAAGGTGGAAATCTTTCTAGCAATGATTCTTGTCGGTTACCCCATGAAAGGCAGCGACAAGATTCACCCAAGCCTTGGCAAAACGTAAAGCCCAACCGAGGCACTGAACCTACCGAGCAAATGAGACACATGCTTTGTAAGATTTGAGCCAAGCAATCTGTGAAATACAATGCATACAAATTGATTAATGGTCTTTCTAAAGATCTGAGTCGTCAGGCAACCCAAAACAACCAACTGTCACAATCAAATTGGTGGCAAGGGTAAGATACAAAAATAAGCAAAGGTAAAAATTGATCCAACCCTTTATTTATTTGTAGGATAATTACTAACACTTCTTTACACGCGTTGACTAAGTAATAGATGAAACCCACAAGGTCGAACACCAGGCCAAAATAGTTGACCAAAAGCTTCAGAAAATTGGGCGCCGAAAGACGCTGAAATGAAAGGAGTTTCATTAATGCATTATTGTGATTGCGTTTTTGGTATTTAAAGCCTCTCATTATTATCGAAGCTTCGCTTCCAAAAAGTAAGAGATTTGTGAGGATATTTAGTCTGTCTTTCGATCATCAGTCCATCAGTCGAACTCAATCTGTTGGTGATCTCAATCCGTCTGCCGACCGCAGTCCGTTTGCTGACCTTCAGTTCGTCGGCCGACTTAACTCTATCTGCCAACCTTAAGTCCGTCTGCCGACCGTAATCCATCTGCCGACCTCAGCACATCAACTAACAACCTGGTTGGACAAACCTACATATGAGAATAAGAGTCACCCCTATATAAAAGGGAGTCAGGGACATGAAGGGTTGCCAATGAAAAATACGCCTAGGGGCAAACTCTTTCTCTCTCTCTCTCTCTCTCTCTCTCTCTCTCTCTCTCTCTCTCTCTCTCTCTCTCTCTCTCTCTCTGTTCTCATGTTCTATTTCATATATGTGGTGTGTTTCTATTTACAGATCAACGACCTTGCTTCGCGTGATTTGTCTGTAATTATCCCTATTTGCAGTTAGTATATACTTATGTGTTCGAGCTTACCATACTTAGCAAAAAAATCAGTAGAAACTCATCTTAACTTAGTAGTTAAACCTTAGTTTTTAAAATCAAAGATGCTTTATTTAGTAATAAGCTCCGATTTTGTTCTTATGCTTCCATAATTTTGTATTCTTAAAAAGTACATAAATTTTGAGAATAGTTTTGAAAGCTCGAGAAAACTACACAAATTATTATGCTTTAAAGGGTAACGCGTATTTAAAATTTAAGTATTTAATATTTTCTTCGCAATCTTATTATATAACATGTTGTTTTATTTAGTCTTGACTAGTGGTGAATCAAGCCCAAAAAAATGCTCGAAACTCTCATGCTATTATGACAAGAAAATTGTACATCCTCGCCATATATGCTTTGCCACGATGAAAACAAATCTCTACATATTTTTATTTATTCGTGCTTATTCTCCATTGTGATCCTGAAAGTATAGAAACTATAGACCTCTACTATCCTTTTCAATCCGTCCCTCATACAGACCATAGAACATATTATGATAAACGCACCAAAAAGTCTCAAGAACTTTTATCTTCTCTTTATCAACTACATTATTTTTCACTGATAAAGAGAAAAGAATAACAAAAGGTAGGGGCATGATTTTGGCAACAGATCCTTTATCCATTGCAAAATCAGGCATGTCTCTCAGGCTATGCGCTTAATTGAAAAAAAACAAGGTTTAGTGGAACTTAGTGAGCAATTTTTTTTCATATCTAAAGCTCACTTATTTTCTTCCTCTTAAGCTCCATTTAGTTTTGTTTGTTTATTTATCTATTTAGTTTTGTTTCTTGGTTACCCGACTTGTTGGTATTGGCATTGCTAGCATACTACAATTTAGCTTAGTTCTTTGTTGGCTCTCTACGTTCTAGTAACCCTTTAGTATTTATTGTGTTTCATAATGGCTCCTATGACATTATATAAGTTCATCTATTTTTTGAATCTAATAAAATTTTTATGATTTTGCTTTCTTCCCCTCTCCCCCAATCACACGCCCTAAAAAATAACTAATAACTAATAATAATAATAATAATAATAATAATAATCGTAAAGTGTTAGGTAATGATAAAAGGGACATGTTGTACCAGAAATATTTGTTCAATCAAGGGGAGTTTAATTATGTGAGTTGGGGTGGGTGTGGGGGCAATGGTCCCGCGGTACGATATAGAAGTAATTTGGTAATTATATATTGAACGTTAGAGCTATATATATATATATATATATATATA